ATGACTATCTAAATGCTGCTGCACTATTGTCTCTTTTGGAACATGTTTCTGGTTTTCATTTATTCAATTAAATATTTGCAAATCAACTGTTGGCATAGAGAAAAGCCAAGGTGGACATCTTGTCTTCTTCTTCTTCTTCTTCTTCTTCTTCTGTGTTTTATTGGCGGTTGGCAAACCAGCTTATAGGTGCATTACCGCCACCAACTGGACTGGAGTGTGGATTAAGATATTTGCATATACATGGCATGAGGAAAAAAAAACAAAAAAACAAGCAAAACAAATAAATAAACGAGCATAAAAATAAATAAATAAATTATCTTACTTCATTTACTTTCTTTTATAAACTTAATAATATCATCATATATCTTCTTTGCAGTACTTCTAATAAAATTACCATAGATTCTGATTTTCCACTCAGTATACTTGTAAGTGCAGAATATGAATCTGAAAAGATTACAACTGTTGTTGGTTGGATTTCTTCCACCCACTGTAAAGATATCTGAATAGCGATCATCTCTGCTGCATATACCGATACATTATTAGCAGTTCTTTTTGCAGATTTATATTTAAAGTAAGAAATGGCAGCACTTGTACGCCCAGTTTCTGGGTCTTTAGAACCATCTGTATAAATTTGTAAAAATTGAAAGTAATGACTATCTAAATGCTGCTGCACTATTGTCTCTTTTGGAACATGTTTCTGGTTTTCATTTATTCAATTAAATATTTGCAAATCAACTGTTGGCATAGAGAAAAGCCAAGGTGGACATCTTGTCTTCTTCTTCTTCTTCTTCTTCTTCTTCGGTGTTTTATTGGCGGTTGGCAAACCAGCTTATAGGTGCATTACCGCCACCAACTGGACTGGAGTGTGGATTAAGATATTTGCATATACATGGCATGAGGAAAAAAAAACTAAAAAACAAGCAAAACAAATAAATAAACGAGCATAAAAATAAATAAATAAATAATCTTACTTAATTTACTTTCTTTTATAAACTTAATAATATCATCATATATCTTACTAGCTGTTTTCACTAATAGATCTGATAAAGAAAAGTCATGGTATTTGACCTTCTTCATTGACTGAATAAGGCGATACCTCTCATTGTTGTAAATAATTCACGTTGCACGTGAAGTAATACACGTGCGACTGTTTCTTGTTGACTACAGTGTATACATTCCCCAGTTGGGTGCTTGCCAATTCTATATAATCTATACCAGCAGTGGCGACCTCCAGTCCTGGAGAGCCACAGCCCTGCAGAGTTCAGCTCCAACCCTAATAAAATCTCACCTGCCTTTAGCTTTCAAGTAACCCTTCAGACCTTGATTAGCTTGTTCAGGTGTGTTTGATTAGGGTTGAAGCAAAACTCTGCAGGGCTGCGGCTCTCCAGGTCCGACGTTCGCCACCCGTGATCTATACTATTAAGTCCAGTATGACCAATTCTAAGGCGTGTTATGACATTTCCTTCCCTTCAGTTCCTACTCTCCTTCCTCCCAGCATCAACTATTTTTTGTATATTATATAAATGTCTACCTGTTTCATTGTCTTGTTTTCCTTTTGCATCGATTGGATAGCTTTCTAGCTAGGCCTTGTACGGACATATCGAAGGGACAAACCTCATGGCATGTTTTCAAAACGCCTTATTGAGGAAGAACTGTTAGGGACATTGCTATCAGTCTTTTAGAGAGATAAATCACTAGTTTAAATGATGCACCTATTTCTAAACATATCCTACTCTTATATTATAATAAACTGCCACTATATGACATTTAGAACACACTAAAAGATAATGAAAGGCCTATGTAATGTGCCACAAAAGATAGGATTATCTTGAGTTATCTTTAGCATACACTACATATTTGGCTAGTTAGGTGTGTCTAGGGTTAAATTTAGGTGCATACATTTTATTTATTATTTTTGGGGGTTGTTCTTGATTTTAAATGTTGTTTTATTTTATTGTCATATTATTATGTCACATCAATTTGTATACCTATTGTGCATTTAGATGCCTTTTCGATTCATTTTTGTGTTTAGAAAAAATGTCCCTATATATTAAGTGTTTATTTCAAGAACCATTTATGTGTAAATTGGTTTTAATGGTTTCTGTGGTTAAAATGTATTGTTTCTTGTTTAGCCGGTGCTATTTATGTTTTTATACTTTTGCAAAGTACCATCATGAGATAGTGAAAGCAAAAGGACCCAAGTTTAAACACATGGCAAATAAGAGGTGAAAAAAGCAACTGTCAAAGTTAAAATGAAAAAGTCAGTAGATCATTCAGACAGTAATAAGCCCTCATATATCTGACTTGAACTTTACTGTGTCCAAAGGCTGTGAATGTTGAAATAATATGGAGTTAATTTTCAACAAAGAGACTGGTGAGGGCATGTGAAAAACAAAACAGACACATGGCGATAAGGTGTGGTTTATCTGCCAAAATATTCCTGATCTGAGCAAGAAGGATGGAGATAAACATAGAGATCTGGTATGTTTTCATAGCTGAATGCATATTGCCTCAGCCAATAACTTTGTAAATATTTACTGTACAGAACGCCTCACTCACATGATATCAGTTTGAGAGCCAAGGCAAACAGTGAAGGCAAAAGAGGGAAAGGAAAAGAGAAGAATTTGTACTAAAACAGAGCATAAAATTAAAGAGATCAGGGAAAAGAAAGGTTTTATTTTACGAGAGAAAACATTGAATCAACTTAGATTAAGAACTAGAGTGATATGGTTAGAGAGCTACAGAAAAAAAGAGAAAAACAGACTGTAGTACAATGTGTTCTACTCATGTGCTCCCTCAGTATTGTTTATGGCTCTGGAAGAAGAAATACATTCTGTAATCTCTAGCCTCCCTTATTTCTCACGTAGCTCATGCGCTCACGTACACAAGACTACGTTGTGGAATATTTGAGTGCAGTAGAAAAACTGAATCTCTTGCACTCTGCCATTACAACAACACAGAACCACAGGAGTCTTACTGTAAACTACATCACCCAAAAATATCCACATCAGTCATCATACAGACCTCTGCCAAATTCCATTGTAATGAGTAAAGAATATGTGCTTGTACAATGCAGTGCAAAATGGGAGCATGCCGGGAAAAAAGTAAAACAAAACTGCTTAGTAATAGAAATAAGAGATGTAAAAGTATTTTAAAAAATGGTGTAGGATTTAAAACAATTTTTGCTAGTAAAATTGCTAGTAATTTGTAATGGTTACAAAGAAACAGCAAAGAAACAAACAAGCAAAAAAAAAACTACAAATAACACACTGAATTAAACATTTTACATTAAAAAGACTAAAATAGTCAATCTTGTAAAATATATGGGTGAATTTTGAAGACTGCGTTTATTTGATCAAAAACTAGAATTGTTTTACAGTTATTGTGAAACATTATTACAATCTAAAATAACTTTTTTAAATTTTAATGTATTTCAAAATGGAATCTATTCCTGTGATGGTAAAGAATTTTCACCCGCCATTATTCAGGATTCTTTGATGAATAGAACATTTAAAAATATTAATATTCCTTTTGAATGGCTTTCAATGGGAAAATGTTTTTTGCTCTCAGAATCTCACATATGGCATCAGCAAGGACTAACTGGGCCATGCTAACTGGCAAAAACCTTGAAAATGTCCTATAAAAATGTTATTTAGTCTATGAACTGCAGTAGGGTGGAAGCTTTAGTCTGCTAGTCTTTGCTTTGATGGTGCAATAACGATTGCCTGACGGCAAGGAACAAAACAGCCTGTGGCCAGACTGCAATGAAACTTGAATGATGGATTGGGCTTCCCTTTTCCAGTGGAGGAAGTGGTTTTGCCAGTTGTGGCAGATTGCATCCTACGATCCTCTATGCTGATGACAGAAGGCACTGTAGTGCACTTTGTCATGCTTGGTTACACACACACATTAGATGAGTCTGTATAGCTATTAGGCACACAAGCAGCACTGACACAGAATAAACTGAATTAGAAAGGATTAGATATTGTGAATGTTGCCAAAGTCACACTACAAAAAAGAGGCATTTCTTCTGCTGTTTTTCCCAGCAAGTGCAATTCAAAGACAATTTCCTATAATAGTCGGTCAAATATAATACAGTACCCCATTTTGACAAACTAATCATCTGGAGTAGATCTCCAACAGTGAATAAGCAAAGCTTTTAGACATTCACACAAAAGGCTACTGAAATGATTCTCGCACTCTCTAAAGACAAATGTGTATATAAAATGTTTTCTTTACAATAGAGTACGGTATGTTAGTAGGTCACAGTCCACAGAGGGACATGAGAAGTCTGAACACAAAGTCAGGTGCAAATAACAGAGAGAGACAAACATTAACTAAATTAATCTAATCTTTCTAATCTTTATAAGATATAAGCAAACACACTCAGACTGAGGGAGAAAGAGAGTTCATGAAAACAGAAATATTAGACTAATTTAAATGTTTAACGTGGTTTTTTTTTCTCTTTTCTCTCCCTGAAAAAAAAAAAAGAACAGCATGAACAGACAGTCAGGCCTAAGTTCTGAGATCCTTGTCAAGTGAAAATATAAAACAAAAGTGCGAGTCAAAACAAAAACAATGTTATCTGCTCTGAAGGACATCCTGTCTGGCAGTAGGTGAGGTTTGCTCAGTGTTGCCAGGTCCGCGGAATTGGGCTAATTTAACACTGTTGCCGCAAGTTGTTTTTCATGTCCACGGGTTGAAACGACCCCAATAACGTGATATTTGGACCCAGGAATGCGGGTTTTTTTTTTTTTACCAGGGAAGCCCCGCCCGCCAAAAAAAAAAACGTGTAGGCTATTTACCCACCGCCCGGAAAGATTGGGTTAGTTTTGAGTGGCAATTGGGCGGGTTTTGTTGTGAAAGCCTGGCAACCCTGGGTCTGCTGATTAAACATGAACTCACATCTGATGCAGTTTTCCTTCTGGTCAAGTTGACCCATAGGCGGGGAGCTGAAGGAACTGAAGGCGGAGCTACGTCTTTAAAAAAGGCAACTTTACAGGCTTGTAAACAGCACTGAACCGAGGACAAGAAAGACACACATCTATAACTGAACATCGCACATTTTCCAGCTCTTCAGAGTTCAACTTCTGCTTGTGTTTATCCGCTGTTGCTCCGTTAGTTTTCTATTCGCTGGCAAAATGAGCAACCACGTTGACGTGAAAAACATTGAACCGACCACTTTTGAGGACCGCTACTACGATGAATATGAATATTATAACTTAACAGACCGTTATACCGGTAAGTTTTTAAAACGCTTTATTATTATTAGGCTATTATTAAGCTACTCTATAAATGTTTTTAAAAAGTGGTGTTTTTGAGTTGTAGTGTTGCCATGACGGCTTTTTATGCATTTGGCAACACGAATTCATTTTTAAAGCGTTTCGTTCGTTATGAACGTTCTTCATAATGTATGCAATTAGTTCTTCGTTTAAACCCGTACTTGTAACTGACTTGTTTTCTGTGTTGACTACAGAGTGCGCTAGTCGCAAGGGCAGGACGAAGAAGGAGGCGAGCTGTAACACGAACAGACCCAACCCTGCGGGACACGAGCACAAAATCGTGGAGAAACTCCAGAATGCGGAGAAGAAGTCCAAAGAGTGACGCAGAAGATGTGCGTCAAACATCTTATCTTTCCACATTAACACCGAGAGAGAGGGGAAAAGTTAATTGAACAATTGTTTGTCTTATAGATTCAATCGGACGGCTATTACTGGCAACCGACCACGGGTGTCTCTGCGGAGACGGGCGCTGAGCTGCAGCAGGAGTGACTACACGAACCTCCGCCTCAGGATGAGATGAGCGGGCCAGTGACTCGTCAAGTGGAGAGTTTTGTGGGGTACATCGCTCTTGTGTGTGTGGTGGGCCCTGCAGAACGAGCACCTGTTCAGAGGAACCGATATGCTTGTGATGTTGAATGTAGGTTTTAAACGGGAGCTTTGAACACGTTTGGTGCTTTGGTATGACATTTTAAAAGATCTTGCGCTTGTCGCAAGGGCAGGACGAAGAAGGAGGCGAGCTGTAACACGAACAGACCCAACCCTGCGGGACACGAGCGCAAAATCGTGGAGAAACTCCAGAATGCGGAGAAGTCCAAAGAGTGACGCAGAAGATGTGCGTCAAACATCTTATCTTTCCACATTAACACCGAGAGAGAGGGGAAAAGTTAATTGAACAATTGTTTGTCTTATAGATTCAATCGGACGGCTATTACTGGCAACCGACCACGGGTGTCTCTGCGGAGACGGGCGCTGAGCTGCAGCAGGAGTGACTACACGAACCTCCGCCTCAGGATGAGATGAGCGGGCCAGTGACTCGTCAAGTGGAGAGTTTTGTGGGGTACATCGCTCTTGTGTGTGTGGTGGGCCCTGCAGAACGAGCACCTGTTCAGAGGAACCGATATGCTTGTGATGTTGAATGTAGGTTTTAAACGGGAGCTTTGAACACGTTTGGTGCTTTGGTATGACATTTTAAAAGATCTTCTTTTAATAAAGACTACTTTTCCAAATTTTTTTCCCCCCAAACTTTTCAAAAAATGACCTGAGATTTCTTCGACGCCCTCCAACAAATAAAAAAAATAATAAAATCTGTACATATATTTCAGAGCTGGGAAGTGCTCCAACTATACCTTTAAAATCTATTTAGTCTGTCATGTGCTAAAGCCACAATATAGGTGAAAACGATCCGTCACAGCAACATAAAATCTCATAGCATCTCCTCTCATCTCAAGACAGAAAGAGGGCAGTAGTGAAGCAGTAAAGAGATGTGGATGTGAATGAGACGTGTCACGTGGAAATGAATTTTGCACAGAGGATAACCTAGAAACACTATGTATCTCATTTAAGAGCGTTTTGAAAAGCATGTGCGCTATAGTGCAAAGCAAATATGACCGTCTTTATTAGTAGCCTTTTCAACAGGAGTGAGAAGTGGAATAAACAAATGCAACCACTACACCCGCACAACTTCTTATGCAGAGATTGTAAGCTTTTTAGAGTACATGTACTACATGACATATTTCATAAACAATGTTCTTCATATCAAGTCAAGTATTCAGTAACTGGACACTGAAAAAAAACAATTAAATTGGCTTATACCAGGGGTAGGCAAGTTCGGTCCTAGAGAGCCGCAGTCCTGCAGAGTTCAGCTTCAACCCTAATCAAACACACCTGAACAGGCTAATCAATGTCTTCAGGATTACTAAGGCTATAGGCAGGTGAGTTTTATTTTCAGGGTTGGGGCTGAACTCTGCAGGACTGCGGCTCTCTAGGACCGAACTTGCCTACCCCTGGTTTATACTCACGGGATGCATAGTTGTGGCTGCATATCATCACAGGCAGTTTCGTAACCCATTTGTGCCCACATTTTTCTGAATGGTTTCATGAATATATTCATGTTAATAGTGTCCTATGTGAACATGTTCCGCATTTATTTTCCCCAGGTTTTTTTTTTTTTTCTTGAAAATCGTATTTGAATGTGTGGCAAATATGTTGTATGCACCACTTCAATGTCAAATTTGAATAGGAGGAGAGCTTTTGGCATCTAACTCAAAATAACTGCTTTCAACAGATCAATCTTTATTCATAAACAAATTTATCATGCATAAAAGTCGGAAGAACATTCGATGCAATCCCAAAAAAAGTTGCATCTAGCTTATAATCTCTTAAATAAGAAAACGCAACAAATCCATTTGTCTTAAAGTGGTGGAACATAGTGCAGAACAAAGTGCAGCCATTAAGTTGACCTAACAGGGGTATTGTGTATCAAAAAGGTTAACAACGTCGTTTGCACTGCGCTCTTGCGTTACTTGATCTTTTTGTTTTGGTGCGTCAATCTGTAGAGTCAAGGAGACTGAACAACAATAAGAAAAAAATGCAAAATTATTATGCAATATATCAAAATGTAGGAATATCTCATGTCTCACAGTAAAATGACACCTTTAGCAGCACTCATTAAATAATAATCACTAAAATAACATGCAAAACTGTCTGAAATATACTTAAGTTTGAGAGAGATACAAATGATACTAGCAGTTATACAACTTCATATTCATCTTGCTATATACAAACTGGAAGGACAGAAATAGTTTCTTCTACACCCCCTCTTTGCACTTTGCTTGTACCAAAACACAAGATAATCCATTTATGTCATTCTCCCCCAGATACACTGCAGCAGCTCAATCCGCATTTTTCTTTCTTTCCTATAATCACCAGAACAAACAAGTATATGGTTAGACATTTTAATGCAAAAATGTTAACATGCAAATTACGTCTTGGTCTGTGAATGCACATATATCAGAAAGTTAAAAAAATGTGTTATAGTTAAATGAAAATAAATAAATACAAATAAATAGAATGAAGAAAATATTACATCTATATAATAAAAAAGGTATACCTGAAAGAAAATTACGCATTTACCTGTTTGGTTACCAACATTCTGCAAAACATATTTTGTGCTCAACAGAAGAAAGAATCTCATAGGTTTGCAATTTGAAGATGACACAATGATGATGCAATTTCCATTTTTGGGAGGACTTTCCCTTACGTACGCAGTTTTAATATAAGTAGCCTACAAGGAATACTGCAGTGAAGGTACAAGTAGTTTTATAAATGTACATAAACATATTTGCATACTGCAAATTACGTCTTGGTCTGTGAATGCACATATATCAGAAAGTTAAAAAAAAGAAGCTCTATTGTTAAATAAATCCATGTGAGGTACTCATTTTTGTAGTTTTACTAGTTCACCCAATAGTAATAGTATTATAGTTCACCCAAAAATGAAAATTTGCTGAAAATGTACTCACGCTCAGGCCACCCAAGATTAATTTGTTTCTTCAGCATAATAGATTTGGAAAAATGTAGCATTACATCACTTGCAAAAAAGGTATACCTGAAAGAAAATTACACTTTTTTTTAGGCCCATAGTATTCAATGGCTGACTGTAGTAGGTGATTTCATATAATAATGTAAATGTAAACTCATTACTTGTCTGAATATTAACATTATAATTGAATCATTAGCTACTAGTCATAAAAAGAATAGTGCCGTCAGAATGAGAGTTCAAACAGCTGATAAAAACATCACAATAATCCACAAGTAATCCACACAGCCCAGTCCAACAATTAACATCTTGTGGAGTGAAAAGCTTGTTCTAAACTAATTAAAGACCTTTTAACTGTTTTTTAAATGTTGCATCTGGCTATAACATTGCTTTCTCCAGTGAAAAAGTCGTCACATCTGAATCAGGAGAGAAATATCCTCAAGTAAAGCACCATTTACAAGCAAAAGCAGTCCAAAACAGATATGTCAGTGGATTTTGATATGAGAGGACAACAGGGGATGGACTTTTTTTTTTCTTTCTTGATGAACCATTATTATGGACTCATATTTTTGACAAGAAGCAACAGTTTAAAGTTAAAACTTATGTATTTGTTTCTTACAAACCTACAGATTTTCACTTCACAAGAAATTAATTGATAAGACATAATGTCATAAAAGGGAGAAAAAGATAATCTACAGCAATTAATCCCATGTGTTAGCTCTTTATCTTTCCATTCTTCCTTTTGTGTGACTGACTGAAGTTTGTAAACTGCTGCTGCTGTCACTTGAAAACTGGAAACTATAGAAACTATAGCTGCCGCTTGGACTTTTGACTAAGTATACAAAAAACAATAGATCTCCTGTAAGATTTGTTTTGTTTGGATGATTCTAGAGACCTTCATGATTATGTAGATATATATATGTCAACAAAAAATACTTATTAGTAACATGAAAATTACATTTCTTTGGGAGGGTTTGCCTTCGCCATGCTTCCTGGAAGTAGTGGTAGGAACTTGACAGCCTCATGTGACAGGAAGGAAAAACAGTTTAAAGTTAAAACTTATGTATTTGTTTCTTACAAACCTACAGATTTTCACTTCACAAGAAATTAATTGATAAACTGGACTGGAGTGGATTACTTGTGGATTATTGTGATGTTTTTATCAGCTATTTAAACACTCATTCTGACGGCACCCATTCACTGCAGAGGATCCATTGGTGAGTAAGTGCTAAATTGCTCAATTAAAAGCTAAATTTCTCCGATCTGCTCTGATGAAGAAGCAAACTCATCTACATCATGAATAAACTAAAGTGAGTAAATATCCAGCAAATTAAAATTTTTGGATCAACTATTACTTTAATACATTTGGCGCTGGACTTCATATCCAAATGGCAAATGGATGAATCAAAATAAATGAACTGTTTTAAAAATAGATGAAAAAGTAACAGAGTATCAGTAACTTTGTGGAGTAGTTTTAAAATTACATTTAAAGTATTGTGTTTACCCTCTTCATCTTTCAACCCATTTTCCTCCATAGTATCACCAGGGGTAGAGAAGCTCCTCTTGTTGCCTAGCAACAAGCCTTTGGAAATTCCAAAAGAGACCACAGAGACCATAGTCTACCTCTCCTCATGGTGTGTGTGTGTGTGTGTGTGTGTGTGTGTGTAAGTGAAGACGGATGGGTGCAAAGAGTGCGCATAGAGTCAGAAACTCTGCTCCATATGTCAGACATGCAGGTGCGCAAGTGTGTGTTCGTGTGTTTGTGCATTTGTATGAATGTCTCTTCAATTTGAACATCTGGCGGGCCCCTGCTGTTACAGTAAGAATGTGCGGTGGAGACCGTGTGAGTGTCAGCTGGTGTGAGAGTGAGTGTGTTTATGTAATCATGCATGAGACCACTTGGGTCAGCACTTGTGCGTACGAGAGTACGTGTTTAGACATTCATAGCACACTTTGACATGATCCCTCCCTATCTGCACACACGGTCAATGTACTAATGTGCCTGTCACCATATTTCTCATTATATGGTCATGCCTGTTAGTCTTCGTGTGTGTGTGTGTGTGTGTGTGTGTGTGTGTGTGTGTGTGTGTGTGTGT